CTGCAGCCATGGCGGCTGAGCCAGCGTTCATTAGGAACCAACAAGAAGAGAGAGGTGGTGATGAGCTCCCTCCACGAGTCTCTTGTTAGTACGTCGTCGTATCTGGTACCACTCTTACTGGAACCACCGCAGCAACTGAACGCATCCAGCAGCAGCATCAGCAGCTCCCTCATGTTTGTGGTTGGAGCTGCAGAAGGCGCCGTGGGTTATTCGTTGGCCAGTTACTACACATCCCTGGGTCTCTTCGTCATCTCTGTTCCTGGCCTTTGGTCCCTCATCAAACGTTCTGTTAAATCCAAGGTCAAATTTCACTTGTTACATGTATAGATTAATTTTGCCCTCCTCCTCGATTTCCCTTATAGTTGTTAATATGTACGTATATGTGGAATTTCAGGTAGTTCAAAAGACGTTTATAGGTGAAGAGAAGAAGGCACCAAGCCAAGTCGCTGGTGAAATCTTATCCTTTTTCACTCGCAACAATTTTGTGGTCACTGATAGAGGGGAGACCATTACGTAAGCCCCACCTCCACCTTATCTACATTCAACTTACTCAATTTGAAAGTTGACGTCCATTTGTTCGGTCAACATAAATTGAATTAGTGACGAGGTCACGAACCATACTTGCTATCCATCAACTATAACATGTTATCTTTTTCTTTTTGAAATCTCCATATGTGATGTTTGTTTGTTTGCACTATGGTTTTTATTGTTTGCCTGCCATTGGCAGGAAGTTTTTTCTAACATCTATGTAGTCGTAGATACGTTCAAATACTTATGTCTTGTCTTTGAATGGTATGAAGGTTTGAAGGCATGATGGTTCCAAGTCGAGGCCAAGCGGCATTGCTTATTTTTTGCACCTGCATCAGCCTCGCAAGCGTAGCTCTTGTTCTTACCATAACTGTTCCTGATTGCGGCAATAACTGGTTTTTGCTCACCGCCTTAAGTCCTTTGGCGTAAGCACCGCCTGCAACCTCACTCTTCAATTCCATTTCACTTCTCCGTGTCAAATTGCATGTGTGCTCCAAAACCAAAAAAGGGTACTGATGTTTTCATACTGGAACACAGGGGCGCATATTACTGGAAGCGAGCATCGCGAAAGGAGCAGATCAAGGTCAAAATGATGGTCATAGACGACGGTGCGCAGTCAGAGATCATCGTTCAAGGGGATGATCAGCAAGTAGAGCAAATGAGAAAGGAGCTTCAACTGAGTGAGAAAGGAATGGTGTATGTTAAGGGCATATTCGAGAGATAAAGAAATACCTCTATATCTGTAGTCAAATTCAATGTTTTGCTCAGAGTACTAGGAAATGAAGCTGTTCTTGTATTAGATCCTTGAAAGATTTTGAGATATGTATACACAATCATTCAATTTGACCTATTCATACTACTTCCGTAGTACCGTAGTAGCCCCCATATCCTTTGATACTTTGCAATCCCTCATCCAAACACAGCATCTAATGATCGAGGCAGAGAGCACCATAACGTAATTTGTTAACACTAATAATAAGCCGCAACAGATAAGTAAAGTTTTCTTGATGCATAAATGACCAAATAAATAACAGAATCCTCAGTTGAGCAAAGTTTGGCGCTTTTGGTACGGTTGATGCTCAGCAAAGCCAAGGCAACTTATTGACAATCCATAGCAACACCACCCAGCGAGAGTTACATAATATGAAAACCCTATTTCTAAACACCACCAAGGGGGAAAGCGAGTAAAAGCAAAAGTGTTTGTAACAAATCTTCGACATTATCTGATTAACTTATGAAAAAGAACTCATCCAGAAACGACAGTTTTCAACCAATCAGTAACTTGTTCTCCTCCAAGAAGGAATAAGTGGGTACCTCCAAATTGTATGGTGCTGGTCCCTTGCGGATCCTTCCCGAAATATCATAGTGGGAACCATGGCATGGACAAAACCATCCACCAAAGTCACCAGCATTCGGCAAGGGAATGCAACCCAGATGCGTGCAGACTCCCACAACAATGAGCCATTCAGGGTTTTTAACCCTCTCAGCATCTTGCTGCGGATCACGGAGAGAATTAACATCTACACTATTTGCCAGCTTGATATCATCGTCAGTTCGGCGTCTGATGAAGACTGGCTTTCCACGCCACTTAACAGTCACAGTTGAACCTGGCTCAATGCTGGAGAGATCAACCTCGAGCGAGGCCATGGCAAGAACATCCTTACTGGCTGACATGCTTAGCACAAACTTAAGGATAAGCAGACGAATCAGAGAAGCATAGACAAACCTACCACCTGTGAGGACAAAGTAGGCAAATGCACGCTTGCTGGGGTCACCTGGAGGGTAACGCTCATGGTTGTACTCGTCATAAACTATCTTTGAACTAGGATTCTTGACAGCTGCCACAGTTGGCGGAACGTCTGGAACTAGATTGTTGTCCCCGGAAGGGGTCAGTGAACCAGACGCAAAACCTGAAGAAATGGATCAATTAGAGCAAGAGAAATATAAGAATAAAAGCCATTGATCGACACAACACTTGAATAATTACTAAAAGCTGTGAACTTTGGAACAGCTATTAAAGACGTCGAATGGCCAATAACATTCAGACTGAAACTCGATGCTTCATGACCTTTTTCCTTGGTCTTTTCTTTTCTTCTTCTATAAGTAATTTTAACAGAAATATACAGAATTATTATTGTGGCGAATTAAATTCAGCATCAATGGCAGCTAAATATAAGACTAAACTAATTGCACATCCCCAAAATGCATAGTATCAAACAATTCCCAAAAAAATAGCAATTAAATTCTGATGAAATACCCTAAATAACAGATTCCTGCCGAAGAATTTGGGGAAAATACCCTAAATAAGCAGTAGCCACGAAAGAGGAAGAGAAATGAGGGGAACCCTAACCTCTGGACGGAAGATATAAGTCAGGGGTGAAATAGGCGGATCTGAGCTCATCGGAGAAGTCACGGCCGTCGATGAGATTTCGGGACAGGATAGAGGAGGAGGCGGTGGCAGCCTGGTTGGACCTCCATGGCGACGCGGACACAGAAGAGAGCCTCCTCGCCGCAACCCTCAACATTTTTTTTCCCTTTTTATTTTTCTTCTTTTTGTAATTATTGTTCTGGTTTTCAGGTTTACGACTGTTGCGCTGCGAAATGGTATTTGGGCTTCGCCGCTGTACAAATGTTGCCTGTGGAGAGAGAGAGAGAATAAAAACGGGCAAACCCAATTTTCTCTTGCGATGGGAAATTGGAATTTTGGAACAAACCCAATAGGGAAACGACCGTGTTGTCGATATATTTAGCGGGCGGCCCTGATTTTGGCACGTCATATCCCATTCGATTCACTTTTCTATTTTGCTAAATTTTAGTTTTGCGATTTAACCTATGTAAAAGGACAAATAACTTCATTTGGTCAATGTCATCAAACATATTAGCAAGCACGAGTGACGAATGTAAAAGTAATCTAAAACACATCGCATATGCTCAAAGAGTGCTAACTTCTATTTTTGTAAAAATATTAACAAATTTAAGTCTGTTGTAAACATTGATGGCTGACCACTAAATAATGTAATAGATGACTATATCAACCATTTTATAACACTATAGCTTAGCTGACAGCAAGACAGCAAACACTATCATCTGTGCCTATAAAAAGGAATGTTGAGGATGAGAGCAAATACATAGAAGCCACAAGGCTCACGGAAGAGGAAGAGAGAAAAGAGAGGAAGAGGAAATGAGATAATAGAGAGAGTTATTTTGTACTCTTATTATTCAAAATTATAATGAAAGCATCACTGCTGCTTCGAAGACATACTCCAGTCATACTGACTGTAGATGAACCTCGTAAATTTTGTGTATTGTTTTATTTATTCCACTGCACACATCGTTGATTTTACAACAAAGACATTATTCTTAAATTTCAACAAGTTTTAAGTTGTAGATTTTAAATCATGAAATTAAAGCCTCTGACAACAAAGGGGAACCTTCCCAAAACTAAAATCATAATTTGCCTTTTTTTATTACACTACGTTATTAAGTACCAAACTACGCTTTTGAAAAAAAAAGTACAAGCGTTTTAAGCAAATCACGATTTCAATCTAAATATATAAGAACATATTCATATATTAACATAAATGAGCTATTAAGTACGTTACTCTCGCGTGTGAACTTAAAGCTAGCACAAACGATTGTATATATATTTTTTATTTAAACAAACGATATTATCTATACTAAATAAGAAATGGATTTAACCTCACAATGGGCTAGCAATAATGTGGTTCAAATTCGTTTTTTGCGAGAATCGAACCTAAGACTTCTCACTTACAAATAAGAGAAATACTACTTGACCGTAGTACTAAGTGACCTAAAAAAATTGAAGTTTTGTCCTCAATCACCTTTAGGAATTGATTGTTGACTAAGGGGGGTGTATGCAATTGGGAATTTGAGAGATTTTAATAGATTTATAAATTCATGGATTTTTATGGAGTTTAACTAATTTGTAAAGATTCCATGCAAAATTTTGATTGAATTCCCTCGAAATCTCATTGGGAGAGGTAAGATTTGTGAATGCTTAAAATACACTACAAAATTTATCCAATTCCCTCTAATTCCTCCACTTTGCCAAATTCTTTAAATTCTAATTCTAATTGAATACACTTGGAATGTTATAAACTTTTTTAAAATTCTAATTGAATACACTCGCATTTATAAGGATTTTAATAAACTATCTTAAAATTATGATTGAATACATATTGAATTTGAGAGAAACACTTAAAATCTAGATTGAATATCCTGAATTCATTAAAAGAATTAAAATCCCTCAAAATTTCAATTGAATACACCCCTAAATGATGCTAGTAAAAGTGTAAAACGTGAAAAATGGAGTCGGTCACACAAAACTAATGATTGTGTTGGGCCGAGTCATGGAGAGATATAAACATTTAAATTGGGATGGATAAAAGGTTTGGCCCAGTCCAGTCCAATCCAATCCAATTGCGTTGTCATCTGCGTCGTCTGAAAATCGTGGAGTCCAGTCGTACATAAACACAGAATGAAACACACAGGAAAGATAGTGATGGAATTGGAATTTTGACCCCAAGAAAAAATGGAACCGGAAGGAATCAGTAAGAAAGAAGAAGAAGAAGAAGAAGAAAGCGGCGGCGGCGGAGGAGGAGGGCGTGAGATTGACAAGGTACATTTGTCGTCGTCGGCGGCGTTGGAGATAGAGTACTTGAGCTATGGAGGAGAAGAGCACCTGCCTCTAATAATGGGCCTAGTGGACCAAGAACTGAGCGAGCCGTACTCCATCTTCACCTATCGGTACTTCGTGTATCTGTGGCCGCAGCTCTGTTTCATGGCGTTCCACGGAGGCAGGTGCGTGGGGACAGTGGTGTGCAAGATGGGGGAGCACCGCAACACCTACAGAGGGTACATCGCTATGCTCGTCGTTATCAAACCCTACAGAGGCAAAGGCATCGCCACCCAACTAGTTACCAGATCTATCCAAGTCATGAAGGAATCTGGCTGCGAAGAGGTATCTCTAATTTCGTAAATAAAATCAATCTGCTTTTGGGGCCCTAGCGTCGCCGCCGTTGTCACGAATGATTTGATTGATCGATTGATTGGATTGGATTCAGGTAACGCTGGAGGCGGAAGTGACAAATAAAGGAGCGCTGGCGCTGTACGGGCGTCTTGGATTTATACGGGCAAAGAGGCTATTCCGGTACTACTTGAACGGCGTGGATGCTTTCCGTCTGAAGCTGCTGTTTCCTCGCCCTCTTTACTCTCTTCCTTCCCAATCCCAGCCTAATAATTACAGCATGGCCATGGCCATTGAAGATTGACGAAGAGCTTCAAGAAGCTTGGTTCCTTGTATTCAGACCATTAATTTTGTTATGTAAAAGCATAATTACAGCATGGCCATGGCCATTGAAGATTGACGAAGAGCTTCAAGAAGCTTGGTTTCTTGTATTCAGACCATTTCTTTTGTTATGTAAAAGCATCTGTTTATCACATGATTCAGTCAAATGTGGTCTACTTGAACAAACAATTCAATTCAAAGCTGGAGAATTTGATTGAAAACGGCAAGATAGATTACAATTTGCTCATCTCATGCAATTCAACACTACAATTTGCGGCGCACTACACCCTCTGAATTGGTGTATTACACTCGAATACAAATTCAGGATATCTATTCTAGCCAGCAGGAGGAGCAATGTTCCGATGAGGAGGAGCAGAGTGATGGGGAGGAACAATGTGACAAACAGGAGCCCAGCGATGAGGAGGGGTATAGCGACTGAGCTGGAACATTACGATGAGGAGGAGTAGTCTTTTTATAGGTTGATCTGGGAGAAAAAATAGAATTCGTTTCTGAAGCATCTTTCCTGTTCCTCTTAGGCTCTTAGCAAGGGTGTTCCTTGTACTTCTGTTAACTTGCTTTGCTTGTCTGTAGGAGACTAGAGAGGTAAATTAAATAACCAACAACTAATTAGTTAGTTAAAACAAATAAAAGAAGTGCCAAGTACTTGAACTTAAGTGCAAGGGCACGCACTTGTCTTGATGATATGTGATGATACAGCGTGAGAATCTGTCAGGGACGAAGATGCTACTGCAACGGATCAATGGCTAGAGCTTGAGGTTGTAGATATTGATTCGTGATTGACTGTCCTGCCGCAGCATGTAATATCTCAAAGCTTGAGGCTGGGAAAGATTCATCTTCTTCATCATCCGGAGGAGCTCAAAATCCAGCATTACCATTCAATGTCAGTCGAAAACCTTCAAAAATTAAGTTGAAGGTTTATAATTTTTGAAGGTTTATCGGATAAACTAAAAGTGGTTAATGTTTCCAGTCACTTTATTAGTTTTCTCGACAACCAAACAGTAGGTATTGTCTTTCAATATAAAACAACTAATCCCCCAGAGATCTAATCAGAGGGAACAGCAGCAGCAGCAGCAGCAGCAACAACAAGAACAACAATGAGAGGGATGGAGGGAGAGAGTGGGCAAAAAAGGCGGGGAAATTATACAATTACACAAAGCAGAGCTAGATAATAGATGATGATGAATTGTCTTGAAAATTTTGTCATCTTTTTTATTTTATTTTGGAATGGAATTAATGCCAATTAATCCGCTTACCTTACTTCCCTTATCTGGAACTCTCCTCTCCTCTCCCCTGGCCAGCAAGGGCGGGGAAATTTGGATATGGGCTTTACGAACGAGGCCCGGCCTCTAAATTACGTCGATTATACCATCATTCAAAGTCCAACTAAAATGAAAGGTTAATAAAAAACTATTTTCGGGGCCTTTCTAACCAAAAATGGGAAGGAAAACGTTTGTATTTTGGGCTTTTTCGGCTCCATTTTCTTCATAAATAAATAAATAAACATATAAAAACCATAAGTGGTAAAGGCGTATTACTATCCATGGAGAGAGAGAATACCGGAAGGCGGAAGAATAAGAAAAGGATAAACCGTTTACTCGAGGGCCAGAAGTCCACCGGCTCCAAAAACCTCCAATCCCCTAAAACACTGCCGTCAACTTCCCAGTTTGTTTTTAACGGCAACTCGAACGGCTCGCTATCAATGTCATGTTAGCAGCCAAGCCATGCACAAAGCACAAATTTTTGCCTTCTTATTTGTTGCTGATTTGACTCATTTAATTTTATTTTTTTGCTAATTGTGTATTTGCATCCTTCTATAACAGTGGTTGACCCAAACTCAAATTGAACCGTTTGGAAAAGAAACTCAAATTGAACCATGTAACCTTCAAATTAAAAGTTTAAGTTCATTAGAGGAGTATTTTATCCTACAAAATAAAAGAATAAAAAGAATAAAAAACGTTTTCTAAAGACACTTGAACTCTCTCAAACTCTATCTTAACCGCATACCTTGCTGCTGCAATCAGGAATCAGGAACCAGGGATCGACGCAGCCTCCGAGCAAGCGTAGAAGCTGAGACTTGAGCCGCGCTGCGCCGCGCCCGAGCGCGCCAATGAACCGTTCAATGTTAAATTAACGGTTTTGCCGAAGCCACGCACACTCGTCTCATCTGTCTCTCTCACGCTGTCTTATGCTGTGTGGTGTGGGCGTACGTCTCTCACCCAACTCCTCAACCCAATCCGATAATACGAAACGCTCCCCCCCCTTCTCCAACACTCTCTCTCTCTCCGCATTTTAATTGGGTTTTTTCTCAGGGCAAATTCCCAATCTTTTTTCTGGGTTTTCACTGCAGTTCTCCGCATTTAATTGGCTTTCTGTTCGAGGCCTTAAACAATCACCAGTTGTTTCAGGTATTGTCTTTTTCTTTTCTTTTTCCTGCCAAATTACGCATTCCGTTGTCTTGGGTTCCCGTTTTCAATTTCTGCATGAGGTATTTGAATGCGTTTCTTGTATGTTTTATCCCTTTTCTTTTCTTTAATTTTTCATATCCGGTTGGTTTTCATTGTCAATTTGGTTCCTGAGTGGGTTTCCAATCGTCAGCGAATATGTATGGGTATCTGGGGAATGCGTCTTCCATCCATAAGTTGCTGTTGTAGCGTTCAATTTTTAATCTTTTTATGGTATTTCAGTTTTCTTTATTTCAATGCGTGCAATTTTTAATCTTTTTATGGTATTTCAGTTTTCTTTATTTCAATGCGTGCAATTTTTAATCTTTTTAATATAATTGTTTGTTTGTTTTAATTTGGCACAATTCAGGGGTGTTTTGATTCGCATTTGAGGGATTAAATTGTTCAAGTAATGCCATTGAATTCTCCATAAATAAATTGAGGTTGGACGTTGACTCTATCTTTATAGTAGCTTACTCCTTTAAAGTGCCTTACAATTTACAAAGCAAGTACTCAGTTCAAACTGATAGATGGACTCACTCCAGTCCAGTTAGCTGCATTGATTTTGTTCACCACGTGTTTCGGGTTACAGTTTTAGTTGATTTATGAGGCATTTTGTAGCTATGGATTATAATGTACTTGTAAATGTTTGATATTTGATCTCAGGTTCAATTAAAAACGACGGCATGTGTTAAAGGTAATAATGTATGACGGTATAATGCTTTGACGGAGCTTTGTTTGACATCTTGTGCTAATGGCGGCTGATCAGCAGAGAAAGGGTTGCAGTTCTAGGGAGCAACATATAGCAAAAAAGAAAAATATTGGATTGCTTCAGGATGATTCAGACGTGAACTCTCATATTTCGCTTGAGTGGGATGGGAATCAGAACATGGTAGTCGCCAAAAGGGATCAAATTGGCATAAGTAGGAGAAATTTGAAGCCTTTTTTTGATTTTGCTTTCAACAGCTTTAATACATTGGCAGATGTTTTTGCTGTTCCTGAGGGAATCTATGATTTGGAAAATTTGGAAGATGTGCTTTCATATGAGGTAGCTTTTAATTTACGGTTAGCCACAAGCATGTATCTACTTTATGTTGTATTAATGCAACTAATATGCTATTGTTTAAACAATGATGCAGGTTTGGAATACTCAACTGTCTGAGAATGAGAAGAATCATCTTATGCAGCTTCTTCCTAGCGGACAAGAGGCAGAGGAAGTTGTGCAAGCATTGCTTGCTGGGGATTGCTTTGACTTTGGAAACCCTTTACTTAAATGGTACGTATTTTTATGTTATACTTGTATTGATGCAGTCCCCCTCCTCTTCTCTTTTCCTTTAATTTTGTTTCTTTTATATTTTTAAGAGTAAATAAATGCAGCACTGCTAAATATTGTTTTTTGTAGACTAATCAAAATTTAAATTAGTTCATGTTTCTTGTAAGAAAATGGGTTTCATGTGGTTGGGAAAAGTTTGTTACATCAATATTGCACTGTTCCATCTGTTTGATCAGAAAATTTAAAACAAGAAACTTTTCTGTTGTTTTCTGTTAAATTTTTTTTCAAACATTGTATGTTGTGCATGTACTATGTATCACTTTTAGAGGATTCTAATTTCTAACATGAAAGAAAAGAAAGAAGTTATTGTAGCTTTGTGAGTCTTAAATAGTAGCTTCTTTTATGACTAATAATTTAATTCCATAGTGTACCAATGATTTTAATTGAGATATATGCTTTCAGGGGTGCTTCACTTTGCTCAGGTGATTTCCATCCTGATGCCATACTTCGTAGGGAACAATGTCTAATAACTGATAAGAAAACATTCTACAATGAGTTGCAGATGTACCATAATGAGTACGTTACGCTTTTCCACTTTTTTCTGTAATACATATAATACTGTTTTCGAAAGGCTCACTTGCGCTAAAACATACCGTCACAATCCCTTTTATGGTTTTTGTGGCAGTATGATTGCATATTTACAGAAGTTGAAGGAGAGATGCGCAAGCTGTAAGGATCCTGAAAAGGAAATTGTGCAGAATATGTGGAGGTTGATGCTCACTGTATTTCTTCTTTTTTTTCATCTCATAATTATGAGCTTAATGAATGCCAAACCTTCCCTTTGATGCTCAACCAAGTACCAATTTATAAGGAGGAGGAATTCTTCTTCAAATTGTGTTTTTCCCTTCATTAAGTCATTTGACAGATTGCTTGGAGCCTTTTGGTGCTATTCTCATGGGGATTATACTTTATGCAGGTTAAGAATTGATGTCGAGAAACCAATTTTTTCACATGCAAATGAATCCAGATTGCATGATCTTGAGGAAAATGCCATAGTTACATCTGAATCTTGTTCTTGGGAGAAAGCATGCAGTAGTGATAACCAGATTTCCTCAGTGAACAAGGGAGGAGAATTTCAGAACAGGTAATTCAGCTATCCACATTTAGTCCTACCAGAGCGCCTATGTGCTCCAGGTTCATTTTAATTTTCTTAAATTATAAACGTACTTGGCTATGGCTACTTAGTGTATGTTTAGTTGACGTTTGATGATTTTTGCCACATTTATATATCAATCTACTTTGGACGTGCATGAGATCTATAAGTTTTTATTGTGTCAGGATCTGTGAGAAAGGCTTCCTAAAGGACAGAGGTAGAAATTTGTGGGTTACACCAGATGGAGCACTTAATGCAGGAGCAAGATCCAAAAAAGGAGACAATCTACACAGGCACAATATCTACAGTAGCGATGGTGCTAAATACATGTCGTATGTTAAGGTTGGTGTTCATTTGGTAATTCTGAAACTTAATAAAATTATGGATGGATTCTGTAAATCTGCGTAACCTAATCAGTCACCTCTCAGGCTTGAGTTTTGGGATCAGTGGTCGCTTGTTAAACTTAAATTGCCAGACACATACCTTAATGGCTTCTGAGCATAGACACAGAATTATCCCATTTCCCTGTTAAGTAGGACAAATAAGTCAAGTAGAAAAAAGTTGTAATCAGATGTTAGGTTTTGAACACAATTATGTTTGGAACTCATTGCCTCTAAGTTGTTTATTTGAATGGGTTTTAACTTTTTCCTACGTAACTGTTGGCAACTAGCGTATATTAACATCCATAATTTGTTTTATTTTTCGAGCCCAGTAAACCAACACATAGACAAGACACTCCTTTCTCTCTCTCTCTCTCTCTCTCTCTCTCTCTCTTCCTACACACAGAGCCATCTTTTTTCTGTGTACTTGTTGCTCTGGGTCATGATATATAACATTCTAATTGTAATGAGGCTCTTGCTGAATGGGTGCTTTTAACTATTTCAGATTAGCAAGAAGCAGTATGAAATTGTTAAGAGCCTGAAGCAGTCTGGCAAAAGCATTCAGTCCAGGTCTCTCGAGCGGGTTTTAGGTAACCTTGATAACTTTGTTGTACAACCATATGAAGTCTTTGTGGAAGAAGAACAGAAGAAGTTACATCAGCACTGGTTAGTGTCTAGTGAAATATATATTTTACTCTATATTTGATTGTCTGCCTCCTCAAAGTATAGTCTTCTTTATACAGGTTGCAATTGGCAGTTAAAGATATCCCGGCAGCTTATGCAAACTGGATAGAAATGCATTTACAAAGATGGCAAATGACAAAGTCTTTGGAGAAGGACATGAAAAGGAGGCTAAGGTCTCTGAGAGAGGTTAGTGATTCTGCCTTTATCTCCCCCCCACCCCCTTTCCTTTTTTTTTTTCTTTTTCCGTTTTAGCGGACGTATCTACCTTTATCAATCTGGTGGTAGCCATCCGTTTCTTAATGAACCTGTCTCCATTGTTGTGTGAGATATTTTATGGGCTGGTTTGTGATGGGGTGTTCAGGATGACGAAGGTGGTCACAACCTTGAACATGTGCTTCAGGATGAGATAGATATTGGAGCAACAAACTGTCAATCTCCCATGGAAGATGATGAAAAGTCCTTACCCAGCTTCCTACATGGTGATGAGTGCAACCCCACAGACATGGAAGATGATGAAAAGTCTGTACCCGGCATCCTACAGGGTGACGAGTGCAACCCCACGGACATGGAAGAAGATGACAACTCTCCACAGAAGCTTAGTGGAGGTCATGAGTGCAACCCCACAGATACAGATTCAGATGAACATTTCAGTGCAGAGTCGGATAATGATTCAGAAAAGCATATCATTATAGAATCAGATCATTTTCCTCCAAATGTACCTGATTACACGGAGAATCTGAGTACTGCAGATACTCCAGTAAACGAGGGAGCACAATTATGTGCTAGTGGAGATGTCTGGAAGGCAGTTAATGTGCCACATTCTTACTATGATTCTACCACATGTCACGCATATTCATCTGCCAGTGAGTTATCGCTTGCACATCTACAAGTTAATCAAGTTCAGCAGACACACTTAGGTGCTATAGAGTCCGACTTGCCTGTGAGAGACAGTGGGAAAGATTTAATGCACATACAATCAGAGAATGGTTCCTTCAGTTCTTACCGAAACCAAGATCAAAATGAAATGCTTCAATCTCTCTTTAAGGGTCAGAGCATGCTATCTTACAATCCTGAGAAGAAACAGACAGGGTTGGAATTCCAGCCACCAGCCAATGTGTTTATAGGTGATGGTCAGTTTTCAGCGCATTTTGAAGAGCAGCAACACCAGTCACTGCCTCTGGAGCAAGGGCAGAAGAGAGAGAGCGAGGTATACATGCAACCAAGATTACCTGAGAACATTTACTCTGATGGAGGTAGTTACTTAATTTCAAGGCCGGAACATTCGGCTCCAGTTGAAGTGCAGGATTGGGCTGTCAATAGTGTTCGTATGCCAGGACCTCAGCAATCTCACTTACATGGTGGAGAAGTGTTGAGTCATAATTGGTTTTCTGGTGGTACTAGTGCCACAAGTCAGACCATTGGGAATGGTACGAACGCAGATCAAAGCTTATTCGGTGTTCTACCTCATTGTAACCAATTGCGAGCAAGTAGCCCTTACCATCCCGTAGCCTCCGCTGAGCAGTTCATTTCCTCTAGGAGCTATGGAACGGTGGGTGGGGTTACTCCGAGGTTCGGAAATGTTGTACCACAAGCAGGAGCTGAACTTGATTACTTGGGTGGGCATGAAGCAGCCACTCCCATGATGCATGATGATATGCAATGGATGAATTTACCGCATCAGAACTCTGGTTTACGTGATCCAATGGGTAAACCATTCTTGAGGTCGTGGAACCCGTAAGACAATTTTCTTGCCTGGTAACGTAAACAGGAAATGGTGACAAGTGAGGGTTACAGTAGATGAAAGTGCAGAGTTGGAGATAGGTTTTTGACTTTGTACATACCTATACAAGGGCCAACTCAGCAGCGTGTACATATATGTTAGATGGGGGCAGAGACAGAGAGCAGCAGGCAGGGGTTGGGGGGGAGACCGTGGGATTATTGGACAATTCCTGGCATCTCAAATTTGTTAGTTGGTAGTTTAGAATTTTATTTTTCATTGGGAATCCTTTTTTCTTCTTATTCTCTGTTTATGGAGAACTATCTTGGAATAATTTTTTGGAGGCTTTTAAAGTTTTCTGTAGAGGCAAATGCTTGAATATTAGCATATCATGGCTTTGGTTGTTGGCTGGCATTTCCAAACTCTCTTCCTCTCATGAAATGTTGAATGCTTTTACCATCGTCGTCTATCGAAGTTAGTGTTTTGCAGCGTTTCTGTTTGAGTATGCCCCATCACCATTATCATCCACTGAGCTGAGATGATCAAACACGAGTCTCGTAGGTGGATCGTGCTTTCTAGTGACACTGTTTCTAACAGCAGCAGCAGTATTGGCATTTGGTGAGCAACCTTGTTTTACACAAGACTTGAAAATGAAGATGTGGTTGAATGAAATCTGATCGAAAATGTCGGGATTTGAATTGTTGCCAGTGCCTCTGTCTATGTATGGGATATGTCAGTTGCTCTTGGAATACAATGCAATCCCGCAAGCAACTGGATCATTGTAAAATTTGGCACAGAACGCACGGGGATGCTGTCTAATAGCGTTTCCTTCCGTGTTGAAAATTAACCAACCCCCTCCACAAAACCCAAAAAAAAAAAAAAAAAATAAAAAAAAAGCTGAAAAAATCAACCTGCATTAACCTCAAAACTTTGCGTAATTATTTATTTAATTTTGTGGTCTGAAACTCACAGGGTTTAGGTTATGGTTTTATTACAAGTGTAAGTTACGTACAAGAAGAGGATGTAGTGGAAGTAGGGTGGGGGGAAGCTACGCAGTAAACAAGTAACCAGAAAAGGATAGATGGAGAGGTCGAGCAGAAGAGAGCTACTAAAACAACGGGGATCCCCCAAATCCGACTCGAGACGTTAAAGACGCACTATTGTAGGAAGGCAAATGTTTGCAGGGTCGTCAGTCGTCGCTGCGGAGATAAAAGTGGCGGCAGTTACCACTTGGATGGGATCGTTCCCTACCTCCTCCTTTTCTCTTCCCTTCCCCTTAACTGCGTGCATGCATCTCTCTCTCTCTCTCTCTCTCTCTCTCTCTCTCTGCTTGTGAGAAAGAAAAGGGATGAAAGAAACTAAGTAATAGCTAGGCTTATTAGAATTAGAGAGTTACAGACAGCTGAATTAATCTCAAAGCCAAGGGCTCAACAAGAAGAAAAAGGAAAATGGGTAAGAAAGACGTGATTCGGTTAGAGCGTGAATCTGCCATTCAAGTTCTCAAGCCCAAACTCTTCATGACCTTGGCTAACCTCATCGGTTTGTACTTTGTACTTGTAATGATCTAATCATGCCATTGCCTTTGACTGTCTTTGTAATTCTTGCTAACTGGAACCTGGTTCTCAAATATTCTCTAGAGGAAAGTTCTGATCGCGCTGAGTTTTCCAAGCTCTGTAAGAGAGTCGAGTACACAATTCGGGCTTGGTATCTCCTTCAATTTGAGGATTTGATGGTATGCATTTCATATGCGAACAATATGCTATGCTCCGGATCATCTTTTCGCTTTTCTTTTCCAGATATTATTCATGCATGTCCCAAATTTCAATTATTTATTTCCGATATCTCATCAAGTTTTGTTAACTTTGACATTGTGTATTTGTCAATTCTATAAACTCAGCAACTATACTCCCTGTTTGATCCTGTCCATGGGAGTCAGAAATTGGAGCAGCAGAAGCTTTCTCCTCAAGAAATTGATGTACTTGAACAGAACTTCCTCAAGTACTTGTTTCAGGTTCTATTCTATGGCTGCTGTGCTTCCCCTTCTTATTCTTGTTTTCATTTCTATACCGCCGGCGCCCCATACAAGTAAAATGAACAAGAGAAAAAGAAACAGGAAATCTTCAAATGATACAAATTATGCACTGCCAACTCCTTTTACAGGTGATGGAAAAGAGTAATTTCAAGATTGCAACTAACGAAGAAATTGAGGTTGCGCAGTCGGGGCAGTATCTTCTAAACCTTCCCATCGTTGTTGATGAATCTAAGGTTTGTACCGTCTCCCCAAAATGTTTTCCTTCCATCACTAGTTTCTGTCCAGCAAAATTGCTTCATTGGAACTTTGGTTTTTATGTGATGCGATCTTCACGTTTGGTTGCTGATCCCAATATGTTACGTAGCTTGACAATAAACTTTTGAGGAAATACTTTAACACGCATCCTTGCCCAAACATTCCAGATTTTGCTGATAAGGTATTTTCAAATACTGCAAACAAACATCTGCAAGTTTCAAATCCCTTGTTAAAATTCGAGTGGCTCATTTGATGTTGTCTTGCTTCAGTACGTCATCTTCCGACGCGGCATTGGACTTGATAAGACTTCAGATTACTTTATCATGGAGAAAGTGGACATGATCATTGCACGTTGCTGGAAATATCTTTTAAGACTAACCAAGTAAGTTGCTTTAAGTTCTTCTTAATTTCTGGATGGAATGTTCCGTATTTGTAGCTAGAGAAACTAGTTATGATTAATAATTTTAATCCAACCAACATAGTTGAACAACTTCAAGTCACTTGACCATAACATCATTGTGCAAATAGAATCTTGTTGATAATTTTGTTCTTGCAGGACAGAAAAGTTCTTTTCAAAAAAGAAAGAGGCACAGCTCAAGATAGATCCAAAGAAGGATGATAATATTCGCCTCCCTGACCAAGATCCAGAGGACTTGTTTGTTGAACGAATCCGTATTGAAAAAATGGAACTGAGGTTGACTATTATATATGCCTTCGATTCAATCTTATTTTGATTATTTCCACTTCATGACAAATATATGCTGTGTCCTTCAGCATTCAAAATTTGCTGTGCAAGAACACAATCCAAGAGCCAACTTTTGATAGGATTATTGTTGTTTACAGGTACTACTTTCTATTTTATGAACTATCTTCTTTTGCATTACCTTTTTCGAAAGGACCTTGAAAAAGTAATTTATTGACAAGAAGAATTATGACTCTTCAGGCGAGCAAGTACCGAAGATAATGAAGAGCGGGGAATATATGTTAAACATTTTAAAAACATTCCAATGGCCGATATGGAGATTGTTCTTGTGAGTATCTCTATCTATCACTGTCTCCCTCAGGGCATTTGTACAGTGCTTTATATTTTCCCGTTGAAGTAACATGCATATAAGTGATGCACTGGAGTAAGAAATGAAACCTTTTGTCTTTCACACAGCCTGAGAAGAAGAACCCAGGATTAACTCCAATGGACTGGCTCACGTTCGTTGGCTCTGCTGTAGTAGGGCTGGTCAGTTTCTTGATAGCAGCAATGAAGTTTGTATTGTTGCTGCACAGTAATCTTGTCATTTTTCTTTTATATTGCGAAAATGCAGCTTAATGGTAATCACCATTTGTTTGTGTTACGGCAGGTTGCAGTTGTTACTTCGCTCGAAATGCCTCAAATTGATCTTTGGGTCATTTTTGCGATTATTTCCACTGTGATTGGTTACTTTGCTAAGACATACTTCAGGTTAGGTATTTTGTTGTAATATTCATCTGTCCTGAAATTGGTTGGGTGGGTTGGCACATTCTCTCAATTTCAATTTCAATATCAATAATATGCATCGGCATGACCGTACCGTACGTGTAGTTATCAGCAGAACTTGGCTCAGTATCAGAACTTGATAACACAGTCCATGTATGAAAAACAATTGGATAGCGGACGGGGTACTCTCCTTCACTTGTGCGATGATGTGATTCAACAGGAAGTAAGCCTGATAATTTCGGATGAATTTTTGTTGGACTGGACATTAATGTATTTTTATTTATTGGTGCAGTAACAAAATATTCTTGTTGAATGTATTTGCAGGTGAAGGAGGTGATAATTTCATTTTACATATTAATGGAACAAGGGAAGGCTACCTTACTTGTATGATATATGCATCTCCTCTTGGATTGGATCTCTTCCTGTTCCTATCATAAGAATATTGCAACAAAGTTGAATTGAAGTGTTATGTTTATGAATGTGTTGCAGGATCTGGACAAGCGGTGTGAGGAACTAATCAAGGAACAGTTTAACGACGACTGTAATTTTGATGTGGACGATGCAGTTCAGAAGTTGGAGAAATTGGGAATTGTTACTCGGGTAAGGCTTACGATCAAAGGTTAGTAGTGCTAGTAATACTCACTCGTTCTAATTAATTACCCATGCCTATGGCTATGGCTATGAATGAATTTAGGATACCCTTGGACGATATAACAGCGTAGGACTGAAACGTGCGAACGAGATCATTGGCACCACCACAGAGGAGGTTGTTCTTAAGGCAAAACAAGATTCCACGCCCAATGCTTGATATTTTCTGCTGCTCACAACTACTCCATTATATTTATTTCCTTGTTTGGAATCGAATTTCCCCCTTTTTCCTACTCGCAATTTGTCAATTCCCAATAAATACAGCCCTAGATGGCCGTCTTTGAAGGAAAATTTACTTGTTTCAATTGCTTTTGCTTCTTTTCTTTTAGTTCAAGTTTACATAAATAAAAAATAAGGCCAAGGGGCATGATCAAAGATGTTCTTAATAAATAAATATGTAAACTATATCCACATTTCAAACAACTCAACTCAACTCAACTCGACAAAACACAAGAAGCTTGAATTAACTCTTCTGAGGCAAACAACTATTCTCTTTCTCAAGTCAGCTCTCTGCTAGAGTGAGTAATGGTATTCACAATTTCACATCGCACATCGACCTGATGGTCATCAGCTGTGAAGCTATCACCTGGAACTGGAAGGATGACCGGATCATACATCCATGAGAAGCTGTCACCTTCATAGGTATTAGGTAAGACAAAAACAGATTCAGATTGGCATAAATTTGCAATAGCCAGCCAGCTCTTAAACAAAAACGTCAATTCAACATTTAATAGATAGCACCACGAGTCCAAGTCCATAATAAAATGAACAACGAGACGAGATTATACAAGCAATGATGATTGCTGATACAAGACTCATTAGTTGGAATAAACACTAAACAATGGACATCTCCGGATGCACATGGCAAAACCTAACAAGCATAGACTGTATAGAGATTGTTCTAAATCTTTACTCCTTAAGAATCAACACAAGAATACAACTTCAGAACATAAGCAGGCAGGCTCATACTTGATGATGCAGATGCAAATGAATATATTTACTCAGAACAAGACGATAACCTTGATACACACTTGAATTCAGCCAAGCCTCAAGCCCTGATTGTAATTTGCTGACGATATATTGGTGGGAATCAGCTGCTGAGTGGGCTAGTTGACGCATCTTACCGCCCTCATCTGTTAACAATGCAGCCAAGAGAAGATGGTAAGTACGCAACGCAATGATGCACGTTGGTACATTGCTACATTTGTTATAGGAAATAGGAATTACTAGCACTTACTCAGTAGATAGAGATTAAAGTGTATACATGTGCTGGAAAAGCCGCGATCTGGACCTGTTGACGGTGTTAAAGCAGAGGAATATATGCTCCTCAAGTTCGTCCACAAGTTGCAGGAAATTGGGGTGGCTCTTGTGCAGCTGTTTCAGCACCTCCTGAATTGGATGCTTGTCGACCGCAGTGCCACTGACAGATCCCCTATCCAATCCAAGGCGAACCAGAAGCTTGTCCCCCTCCACTGCGGCATGGAGGCGGCGAACGAGTCGGTCAATGGTGGCAAGGTCATTGTCGAGGACACAAGTACCCATGGCAGCAGCATCAAGTTGCTTCATATTGGCAATTTCCTTCTTCTCAGTGGTAGTCATGGTGCTGCAATTGCAACAACTGCTCCTTCTACCAGAGCCAGAGCCAGTGCTAGTGGCAGTGCAGCACAAAGGCGGCGCTGCAACAACAACGAGGGCGGCAGTGAGAGCGTGGACTGTGACAGCCACAGCAGAGACAGCGACTCCAACGGCAGTGCCAATGAAGCAGAGGGCGGAGGCAAGAGTGGCGCGGCGAATGAGGCGGATTTTGGAGCGGGAGGAGCGGAGGCGGCTGTCTAGCTGGAGCTTGAGCTGGGAGAAGCAACGGCGCATTTTGTCCAAATTGGGGGAGTCGGCGTCGTCAGGGGAAGGGAAGGGGTTGTCGTTGAGGTCGAACTGAAGAAAGACGTCCAAGGCCCGACGGCACTGGGACTGGCTGAGGCTGAGGTTGAGGCTCAGTGACGACTCCACAGAGTCAGAGTGGACGACGGCGTCGAGGAGTTGGTGGAGCGGAGCATAGAGCTCGCGTGCTCGATAGACGCTGCGGTGGAGGAGCAGCAGGCAGGCTTGGGTGGTGTTCTCGCTCTGGTCGAAGTAGTCGGAGACCAGGCGAGTGAGGGTGTTGGGCTTGGAGAGGCGAAGCGCCTCTTGGACGCACTCTCGGTTGGGCTGAAGCACTCGCCCCAACAGAAGCTGGTGCTGTCTCTGACTCCGGCGGTGGCGGCTCTCTTCATTATCCGATTCGTCGTGGTCCTCCTCCTCCAGCTGCAGCTCATCATGACCAGGATCATGTTGGTGGTCGTGGACCTGATGAACCTTGGACCAAATTTCATTGTAGGATTGGCTTTGGACGGCGCGGTTGTACTCGTGGGTGAGAGTGGCGGAGGGCGATGCCTCAGAGCTCGTTCCTCCTGAAATTACGTCAAAAAATTGAATTCAATTACCAAATTGTCAAAAATTGAGCCAGACCCAGACCAATACCTTGCGACGGGGGAGGCGGATGAGGATGAGTATTGCCATTCGGAGCCGCTGCTGCTGCTGGGGAGGGTGACGACGACGACGATAATTGCAGAGAGAGACATTGCAGCATCCTCTCCAGTCTCCTCTCTATTACAAACAAATTTACAATGAAATGAATCGCAGTTTCCTCTTCTCCAACTGACACCAATCTAAAAATCTTGTTCACTCGCAATAAAGTGAAAAGGCCTTCTCCTCAACTAGTGATGAAATGCCGTTATATATGTACGTTGACGAGAATTGCTATTAACAATCTAAACTTTTAGAGTGCAAAACGTACATATGTAACAGCAACCCAAAACCTACATCCAAATCCCAACTTATATTAACCACAAATAATGGTTTATATAACAAGAACAACACTGCTCTTACATTCATCATCGTGTAAAACTTATCAAATAAAAAAAATAATGCTTTATACACTTATCGAACAACTGATATATCTCCTCTCTTCTCTCTTCTCTCTTCTCTTTCTCTAGTTTCATGTTTCAGCAAGGAAACCTAAAAAAAGTATAACAATTTCCTTTTTCTTTTCACAGAAGGAAAAAAAAAAGCCTATTTCACAAATATCACTCCTCCAAGTTTTTTAATAATTTGGAGGATGCGATGCCATACGCACACAATGTCTTTTTATTTTGTTGCTTTAAATAGCTGACTTCCTGGGATCACTGTAGAAGTTCCTTCTCCCATTATTGTCGTCAAGCTCATCTCTTTCTCAACTATCCGGTCCAGCTCCGTTACCACATTGCTCATGCTTGGTCGCCTCTCACTCGAAGCCTCCACACATCGCATGATCAACTGAATCAACCGTTCCATAGCTTCACCTGTGAAGCTATTCCCCAACCTCCCATCGATGATGCACGATACATTGCTGCCCTCTTGAATATTTTGCACCTTTATACAAGACCCAACAACAAAATTAAACCACTTTAGTGTAATATTTTCACACATTAACAAGAAATTACTAACGTATTCAAGATTCAACAGTGATGTTGGCAAGTTGCAGCAATTAAACTTTTAACTATCATATTGTGTATAAACAGTAACAACAATCAACAGAGCAAGTATTTAGTGTACCATTCCCGGTCCTTCACTATATGATATAGAGAAGAGAAGCCAATGTAAGCAAACATTTGAATGCATACCATCATATGACTAATGCATTCCAACAGTTGTAAAGACACACTAGCACATACCCATTCAACCATGTTCTGGTTTGAGTCAGAAGATGCAAAATCTCTTGCTTCTCGCCCACTCACTAACTCCAGGAGGAATACACCAAAACTATAGACGTCACTTTTTTCTGAAAATCGTCTGAATTCTCTGACCCTGCAAAATTAAACAGAAATTTGGATAAAATGACAACTATTCTTAGCATTCGCTTGAATGGTTATATTGAACACTGAGAACTAAGGGCAATACACTCCAACCCCCCATCCCCTCACCCAACCTTATCCAACAAAGAGAGAAAAACAAAACAAAGAGAGAGGGAGAGACTATTACTCTGGAGCAAGGAACATCTCATCAGCAGTCACTTGAGAAGACGAGCCTGCAATATCAACTCTTCCCAGGAAATTGCGAATTCCCGCATCTGCAACCTTAGCTATGAAGTTTTCATCTACAAGAACATTGGCTGTTTTAAAATCCTTGTGCACCACACGGGGACTCAAAGAGTGAAGATGAGCCAAACCTGCAGACAGAGGAGCTAAATGAGTCCTAATAAATAGGAGACCGTTGCTTCCAGACTTCTCACAAAAAGAAGCAGGAACTTTAGAACATCTGAAAGTCTTACAGTTGCTGACAAAAGAATTTGACGGATCAATACTCATAACCGAATATTTTTTGTCTAAAGAGATGAAAACCTGATACCAGGAAAGCCACAAATGCTCACTGATTTTGCAGATGATCACCTTTAGCGGCCCCTTGAGCTATTGATAGGCGGTTCTTGAATTCTAGCTTTTCACGTGAATGCTGGCCAGTGCCTGCAAAGAAAATTTTGAAAAACTCCATATGCTGAAATTTAGGCATTATAGATACAACAATTGATAAAACAAAAGGGTTTCGTACGAAATACAGTACTGCATGTATGATAATTCCACATGCATATCACACGAATTTAAAGAAACCCTTATATGCTAAGTAGATATTTATATCACCAGCATAATTTTTGACTCACGAAATTAAATATGGTGGCTGGATAGAGTTTTACCGAACAAGTGACTGGAAACACTTCCACTATGAATGTACTCGTACACAAGAAACTGTAGATTATTTTCTTGGCAGTAACCCAAGAGAGTAACAATATTCCGATGCTGAATAGCTGAGAGATAGTGTACCTGATATAATATTCTGTCCAGTTAGATAAACCATGATACACTGTTCAATGCAAAAACACAAATAGGAATTCAAGGAGAGAAAAAACTAAAGCATATACCAGTCCATCAAATTCATCAGGAAGAAAAGTTGGTAAGGAAGAAAAAAAAACTGATTCAAACTTACGACCCGAACCTGTACAATGCGTTTTTTGTTATTTTTAATTGGGAAGTGTTATTGGCACTCCAAAATTCTCATTCTACACTCCTCACAAGTGTATTTTTCTTTCTAAATATATAAAGTTTGGAATGTAGAATGAGAATTTTGAAGTGCCAATAATAATTCTCTTTAAATTTTGTTCAAACAGCATATACCGGTCATTCTTCAAATATATATATAAGCAGTTAATGCACAACCCCTATCACCCTAAAACAAGCTCAAAATTATATATAATACTCGAATGCCGTGAAAGAGAAAACCCATCTGTCAAGAGGCCTTGCAAATTCATTAACTTTTTTTCTTTCACCTGTAAGGTTAGAACAGTGATCATTACCTCGTTGATAAATTCCTGACTAGCTGTTCCAGGTCGCTTTTTGATGGCTACAAGCATTCCATCCTGGAGAAATCCCATAAACACCTCCCCAAAATTTCCTTGCCCAATCAAATTTTTATCGCTGAAATGTTTTGCGGCCAGAGACAGTTCTTCCATATGAAAACGCCTTGCTTCTCGCATTGACAACTCAACCCCTCCATGTCTTCCCACTGCAAGTTATCAAAACAGATAATTGAAAGGCTGTTGTTTATGCTATACTAAGTGTGTTTCCCCTAGGAAGGAAACAAACATGTGATATAAGAGTTACCTTGAATAGAAGGATCAGAAGAACCTGTTTCAGAAGTTCTTGAAACACTCCTATTGCGAGATATGCAGAACCATATGAGTATGATACTTATCCCCACAAAAGTCACGGCTCCTGCAGCACCTCCTAGTATTGCTGCAAGAGACGCTGACATTTGGTATGGGAACCACTTCAACTATGGGTAGTATTGTTGTAAAACGAATTATCATGCATTGAACCTGGAATCCAGAGGATACAAAACGCAGAGGATGATAATCTACAGAAGGTGTGCACGGAAAGCAAGGGAATTAAATCCATCAGATGTAACTATTTCTTTTCAATTCTTTATTTCCTTATTATTGGTCTTCCATCAGATAACTAGAAAACAGATTAGACAGAAAGTTGTGAGAGTGGGATTAACTTTAAGGGAGCAAAATTTCAACGATTACAACGGCCGCAAAGCAATGGTTTTTTAAATCAAAGTCGAAGCCCTTAAAATCAAGTAAAATGTCATGCCAATAGTAGTGATATACATTCAAAATGCAATAGAAAAGAAAAGCAGAGTAACATAGATAGAAACAAAGCATCATTGTATCATGGGGTTTAGGCAGCTGCAAACCTCCAGTCCTTGTCCCAGAAAAGTAAGGCAGCCAGATGTCTAAATACTCGAGCTTCATTTGCCAATGGCAACACGAACGAACAGCCTCCGAATACAACGACAACAACAACAACAACGAGAAGAAGAAAGGAAATTGGCACCCAAATCCAATTGAAATTTCATGACATGGAAAGTTGCAGGCAGGAGATATAATTACAGAAAGAAAAGAGGCATGTTTGAAAGAAGGAAGGAATGAATGAATGGAAGAATATGCAGGTGGAAATCAAAATGTAAAGACAAGAGGAGAAGAGAGGAGAATCGGAGAAGTATCAATCCTGATTGTAATTTGGATAAAATTAAATTGAAGGGAAATGCAATCAAATATTCAAATATCAATATCGTCGTTGGATTGGATACAGACAATGCCGAAAGAAAGTGACCTTGCGCCGACAACACTTGTACTGCTACTTCTCTCTCGCACTCTTAACCAAACCACCCAAATTCAACTTGATCAACACAAACACATCATATACTAATAATATAACAGACCAAATTAAATAATTATGTTCTCTATCTCTCCTGAATTTTGACGATGGATATATAGTTCTAGTTCAATCAATCAAAGGGACAGACGGAAAACCCACCCACCCCCACCTCACCCCATGCAAATTCAATTTCAATTGCAAAGCAATCAACCCACCAAAGGTTTATGCTCAAGCACCAAAACAAAACATCAAATATGAGTCAAGCGTGAACCAGAATAACTGAATAAGAGAGACAGAGAGACAGAGAGAGCGCGTGTCTGTCAGCCTCTGTTTATTTATATATTTATTTTGGTCGATTATATATTTTTTTAAATGAATTTATTCTTTATGAAGTAATGTTATTCATATCATGTTTTTATATCACATTTCTATACCATTTTAAGTGGCATCTAATATAAAGAGTCATATCATTTGAAAAATTTGCAAAAGCCAAGGAAATGAAGGAGAAAAACTTATCGTATACTACAATCATCGTTTAATTAACTAATTTTTTTTCTTAATTATTAGTTTATTAAATAATAAATTAAATTTAAAAATCTGATTAATTCAAATGATGTGGTTGTCCACATCAAATATCATCTAAAATGATATAAAAATATAATAAAAAAATATAATATGAATAACATTAGTTCTTTCTTTGTGTTTATTTCTTTTTTCTTTTTTGTGTGGGCTGTAAAGCAGAATAATAGTTGTCTGCTAATGCAAGTTGGGAATTTGAGAGAGAGAGAGAGAGAGAGAGAGAGAGAGTGGGACTGAGGGAGAGGCCTCGTTGTGTGCGTGCAATACCAATACAGGTGGGACTAGCGGCACAATAAAAACTATCTTCTGCTATGCCAAGCTCGCCATTTTATCCAACTTAATTACCCAATACAACCACGTAAAAAAAATAAACTTGAAACTTAACTGCACAAAAAAAGACAGAAGGGTAAAGAACAATACAATCCCAACTTGACGGCAAATTTAAGACAATATACATTACGTAATACGTATACTTGTATATATATATATTTACTTTTCCGTTTTTATATATAAAAGCATTCAACAAAGAATCTTAAAAAGAGACGGAGAGAGCGAGGGAGTTGGGCTGGCCAGCTATGAGCTATGTTGACATGGCTGCTACTGAGCAATTAAATAATACATCAAACTAGTCTTTGATTAAACTATTAATTAAACACATATTAATTATATACAAACCATAATAAGCATTGTAACCTCTACGGTTCTCTATCTCTCCCTCCCTCCTGCCCTTTTCATCACTTCCGTTTGCTCATGTCATTTCTTCGTTTGGATTCTCATGATGATTACTAACAAGTAATAAATATTATTATTTAAAGGTTTGTTTTAGTTAAAATGATCTCTGAGATTTGCATAACACATAACTTTGGTATCTGAGATTTAAAATCAATAAAAGTGGTCCTGCGATTGTCCACCATTCATTATTTTGGTCATACCGTTAACAAAACTCAGTTAAGTTGAGGGTATAACACATAACTTTGGTCCCTGAGATTGTCCACCATTCATCATTTTGGTTCTTCCATTAAAAAGCTTAGGGACCACTTAACAAAGTTTTTTAACGGAATGACCAAAATAATGGATTGTGGACATTCTCAGTGATCACTTCTATTGATTGATTTTAAATCTTAAAGACCAAAGTTATGTGTTATGAAAATCTCAGAGACCATTTTGGCTAAAAAAATCTTATTTAAAAACTAGACAGAGTTGTTTGCAGAGATGCAGTGCTTTAGAAAAGACAGCTGAGGTTGCATTATAAAATTAATGATAATATGAAGAATAGTTTAATTACTTGTAAGTATATGTAAATTTTTTTATTTTTTCTATGTGATTAATACTCTTAACACGCCATCTTACGTTCGGTGATACGAGATAAATACTCTCAACATGTTCCCTTCCCTTACGTGTGACGATTTTTTAAGCTTAATACGTGGACAACACAAATCGAGTAACGTGGAGTATATGTGGTCAGTGGGCTTCACACGATGGACAATCTACTTTGATACTGTGAAGAAAGTTGAGATTCCACTATTAAATCAGTTGACAGTATAAAAAATAACTCAATTACTTATAAACAAATGCAATGTCCTATTTTTCTTCGACGTGGAACTAATACTCTCAACATTCAGCTTCACTTATTACAAAACATGTTTCACTTTTTTTTTTCTATTGGCTCTTAAACAAACAACAAAGAAAAAAAAATTCCGCTGCTCGAGATTTTATAGTATGAATAAGATGAGTATGATTGGAATGTAACTTGTTTTATATCCACGACTGGCGACTGCAAATGTTATGTGACACCAAAGCAGTATGAACCATAAAAAATTAACCAGTTATTAACGTCAACTTCTGAAATTCTTGGTGGATTCAATGATTTCTAATCTTTTAATACTAATTGCAATGGAACCTTTGAGCATTTTCTTAATTTGAAATTCTTTCTCATGCTATCGCAAGTCAAGCAATATTATGTCAATTTATGAATATTTAAATTGAGACCTCCTTCGGCGTTATGAAGAAAAGTACCATCAGATGCTCATAGGCATTTGATATAAACATGTTTTATAGCGCAGCCGCAGTTTACCTGAGAATTGAACAACATAGATTCAATGATCAATGTTCCGTTCCATGCATTCCTCATATGATTGAATTCATCTTATATAAAATTGGGAAGAAATTCATTGTGAAAAGGTTAGCTGTCAATATTGGATATCATACAACATTGTGATTAGAATAAAAGCAAGCGGTTAGTGTACCTTGTTCTGTTTCAGGCTTTCCCAAGGTGTACATATATTACTTGAGAGGAGAGGAGACTCAGGAGAGATTAGAGAGTGAGATATCAACGTGTAGCTAACTGTGGGTTAAAAGACGAAAGTCGGAGTGGCTGAGACATCTAAGGACATGATTGGGTCAGAAGTCAGAAGAAAGGTTGCTGCAGGCGGCAGCCGATCGAGAAAGTGGAATTGCTCTGCAGTAATGGAACTAGGTCTTGAGAGGGAAGTAACTAGAAATGCAGAGCCAAGGCAGCAGCATTTGAAATTTTGAAAGGGAAAGGGCTAATTAAGCTCCGATAGAATGCAGTCCGAGGTTGGATTTCGATTCGAGGTCACCAGCGGGAGATGCATGATTTTGTTGATTATCCTGCTTGAGCTTGGTAATTGTAAATATATAGAATCATGAACGTGATGTAAATGTGCTTTGCTTAATTATCATTTTTTGTTTAAACTTGAAACTGCCGATTTTATCTAGTCAATAGAACATTGCATGCACGTGTGAATACATTACAAACACGTGAAAATATCATTGTTATGGCTCATTCTGTGGTACATTTGATAGACGGAGTGGTATTTGATTGATCTAAAAATTGGTCACTAAAAACATGTACTCATCTGGTACTTCTTATAGTTAGGGATGGGTAACGGTTATGACGGACGGGTAATCGCGGTTATTTACCCATAACCGTTTATGTTCATACTCGCATAATCGTTTACCTGTTAGGTAATTGCATGAACGGTTATACTCATCCCCATAACCGTTTATAAACGGTTAACCATATCTATAACCGTGTACCCATTTAACTATAACCGTTTACCCATTTAATCATAATCATTTACCTGTTTACCCGTTTTTTAATCCGTTTATCTTTTTTTACCCATTTACCCCCTTTTTCATCCGTCTGCATGTTTTTTTTTTTAACAACTTGAAAATTACAAAAGAAAAATTTGTCATAATTTTCTTTTTCTGACAATTAAACGTTGTTATAGGTACATTTTAGCATGCATTTCCCTATTTTAATCATTTAAGTCCTCGTACAATTCTAATAATTAAAATGATAGTTTACGAACGATATTTTTCTACTACACCCAAGCAAATATTTAGTTTCAAGACCGATTCCAAACCAAAATTTTAGGAATCCCAAAATAATTTCGGAATTTTGAGACAAATCGGAAATCCCGAAATTGCTTACTGTAACTCAACCATCGATCCATTCTACAGAAGTTTATCTGGTGGATACCACCATACTAGTAAAATGACAAATACATTCATCATTCGATATTGCAGAAAGCATTTTTTTCAGTACATTGCCAGGTAATATACCAGACAACACAAAGCATCAAACTTCTTCCAGCCTTAGAAACATATAAACATGGGAAACAAAAAAAAATCAGATACGAATTCAACCACAGAACTTCGATGTTAAATTATATGGGTATAACCAATCCAACGGCCTATAATTTTTAAAAAAAATTATATATATATATTAAATTAAATGGGTAAATAGATAAATGGATATCCGTTATAACCACGAGTAATATTCATAATCGATGGATACCCATTATAACCGTGGGTAATACCTATAACTACCCATTTAAATTTCAGCGTTAAAATTAATTGAATTTGGATCAGGCTTTTCAGCGTTAAAATTCAATTGAATTTGGCTCCAGATGGTGATGATTTGGGCCGTTGGACCTCATGTTGAAGATTCGGAGGCTAGAATCCTCGACTTTTAAAGCGGACTAGGAGCGCAAAACTTACTCTACAGTTGGACACCAACTCAATTAAATAATTATTTTTTAGGAAAAACAAATAGAAAAAATCCAATACCCTCTCTTCTCTCGTCTCTGCGTCTGCGTCTGCACTTGCGAGTAGCAACCTTTCTTCTTCTGTTCTGTGTCCGATTGGATTGGATTGGATTGGATTGTATTGATCACAATCACATTTTTATTTTCTTTATTATTGGTTATTTTTTATAATTTGGATAGTGAAAAAGAAAAGTAAAGTTATAGAGTACACATAACATACATAGATACACAAACCAAAAAAATCAGAAATAAAAAATCAAATCGTATGATCGTGTCTGAGAGTGTGATGGGAATCGGCAACTTCTTCTTCTTGTTCCCCGATGGCATTGCTGACGATCCCCGACGACCATCTCAACTGTGGAGAGGAGGAGCAGTGGCCGATTACGCACATTACACCTGGCTTTTCATTTGCTGCAATGGAAATTCGTCTCGGTTCACTCGGTAATTCTCACTTGTTAATCCTCCTCCGTTTATATTTTATTATAGTATGCATTTCATTGTAATGTAATTTTGACTCTTCAATTCCAGAAAATTCGAATTTTCCTCCTCCATTTGGTGCCACTTGTCAGATATAAGGGGTATAGTCAAACTCGGATTTGAGAGGATTTTAAAAGAC